GTGGCACTGTCGTCGTCCTACCCTAAATCTTTCTCTCGTTCACTCTTCCCCTTGTTCTCCCTCTCGTTCAACCTAACACCACGCATACATCCCTCTCTGTCTCTCAACCTGTTCTTGGACATTCACACGATTTGTGCCCTCATGTAATGTGTGTGTACGCGTGTAACTCCTATTTAAAAGGTGCGTGCGATGCTCATTTTCCCGTTACTCTTTTTCTCTCTGTTCCGCTCTTTCTCTTCCTCTCACTCGCACCGTACCCCTCTCTCTCTCTCTTTCTCTCTCTCTTTCTCTCGCAGACACACACACACACACGCACACGTACACGTTCTCTCATGCTCTTCGTTAATTATCCCGTTGCGAGCGAAACGTCCACTCGACCCAGAAAGGTGTGCCCACCCCCTTCCGCCTTCGAGGGGGCGAGCCACCCCTTGGAAAATAGGTGTACTTCACGGCACGATTTCTCCTGGCTTTTGCTATTCCCTCTTACGAGCAGTGCTCCTGGGAGGCAGGAACGTGAAAAGAACGGAATTAACGCCGGCCCCATCGACTCCTCTCGTTCCGATTTCTTTCTTTTTCCCTCCACTCTTCCTCCCTCTCTCTCTCTCTTTCTCTCTCTCTCTCATTCTCTCTCTCTTTCTCTCGCTCTCTCTTTTTTTCGTACACTCGACGGAGGACTGTCCGTCTCCGGAATACAGTTGAAACGAAAAGAAGAAAAAAGGGGAATATCGGATATTCTCTGGACGAGCACGCTTACATTCTCCAGCGGAAATGTAACACCGTATCGGATGCGATATTGTCGCGAGTGGCAATCGAACGAAACGAAAATGATTAAACGGATAAGATTGCTAACAAACGCGGGGGGTTTCGTTCCTTTCGCGAAGAAACACGTCTACGGCCAGCGTTTCCGGCGTCTACACGGGCGAGCCGTGTAAATCGGGGTAAGAATTACTCGAATCAGTTTCAAGGCTCGACCGCGCGATAACCTTGCACGGGTACTTTTGGCATCGGGACTAGTAGCGAATCCGATAAGAAAATTTGAGAAATTCATTACGAGGTAATGTGGCTACCTCGGGCTGGGGTGAAGCGCGTTCGCGTCGTTCCTGTGTTTCGATAACAGATAACGCAGCGACGAACGCGCGGAGGATGGCTCCGAGCCTTAAAAGAACATGCTAGCGATCTCGATCAAAATTTCGACCCATGGAAAGCTCGTTCCGTGTACGCCTAGCAATCGCGATTAAACAATAAAAGATCGCCGACAAGCGAATGCGTTCTACGATCATCGATGGGACCGGCGGTGAGCGTCGAACGGAGAAATCTAAAGAAAAGTCACTGGACCGCGGCAGGAGGCTCGACAATTAACCTAAGGAGATCGTCGGGGGAGGTTGGATGGGTGGCCAGAGGATGTAGAAACGAAGAAAGTCTCGGAACACGACGGGACTCGGGGGTGCGGGACCACTGTACCTCGAAAGTAGTTTAGGGGACGCGGTTGAGAGAGCTAGCGGCGGCTGACGGCCAGGACTACGATCATCCTGGACGGTCTCCGGGGTGGCCATTCGCCGCGGGACTTCGTTTCGAAGATTAACCGGGAAACGTGGTTACCCGGTAATCATTCCCGGGCTACTTTCTAACTAACTTCGAGCGTGAAAGTTAATCAGCGGGCCAGCCGAGCAGCGAGCGGTTCGTTAAACCGAGACTGACCGAAGCTGGCGATCGCCGATCGATCCTGGGAAGAGCCGATTCCGAGCCGCGGATCGATACCGAAGCCGCGAGAGAGGCCTTTCTAATATTCGCTCTTCATGCATGGATGCCCGGTAGCATTAAAACGATTAAAAGTCGCCCGATCTGCATTCGACTCCGGATCGATCCGCCGGAGAGAGAGATTGCTCGTTCCCGATGAGAAACGATCCTCCCTCCTCCTCCACCCCGGCCGTTCCCCTCAAGTAAACGATCGATCGATCCTCGGATTCGAGAGAGTCTCCGGGCAGTGCGCCCGGCGATTCACTTTCACGCGGCAAGAAAGAAAGCAGTCTAAAACGTAAAAGAAAAACGGTTCTCTTGTACGGGAAGAAAGATTCTTCCGTTGGCGAGCGCGCTCGCGCGCGTCGAGCAGCGTCTGTACGCGAGCAAAAACGGAACAAAAGAAAAGAAAAGAATTGGCAGCGAACGATCCGCGTTCGAGTGTCCCCCGAAAGCGAGCAGGATGGTCCCGTACCAGCGAACAGTCACCCGATGCCGCGCTGGCGCGAACAGGAACGATCAAGCAGGCAGCGTGGCACGCGCCGAGATAGGATTTATAGAATCTAGATCGTAGAATCCGAGAAGAGCCGGCGGGACCAAGGACAATGGAGTTAAAGGTTGCTGGGGGGAGAGAGACGCCAGGAATCTTCGGGTTCGACTGATCGGCCGTTCCTCTGGGACACGAGGAACGCGAAACGGAGGATCCGGTCGAATCCTCGGACCCTATGGTCGACTTATGGGACCGGGGAACCGGGAGGGCGGGTCGAATCGAAGAAGAAATCGAGGAGAAATAGCGGTTGCTCCTAATCTCCAAGACCAGCCGGAGTTACTGTTTCTCCTTGAGTCCGCCGAGAAGAGCGTGGCTTTCCATCGACGCACTGAGGTTGCTCAGGTTGCTAAGATTGCCTAGGTTGCCCAGGTTGCCGAGGTTCCCGAGGTTCGGCTGGTGCGCGTAGTTTCTGATCTGGTGGAGGCTGATCAGCTGGTTCGGGAACGACGTCGCGTTCTGGTTGCTGGTGGTGCCGGACGTGACGCCCGACGACGAGGAGGCCGGTGAGGATTTCTGCGTCGTGTTGAACGCTTCGTATAGGTACGGCCTGGAGGCCGGGTGATGGCTGCCGGGATAGTGGAGATGGTGGTTCAGCGCGTTCAATGGGTGCTGCATGGTGGAGATCGAGTTGATCGAGATCGAGGAGATCGGCGTGAACGCCGAGCTGCTGTTCGGATGATGGTTCGCGCCTGGCTGAGGCGTTTGTTGCCTGGAATCGTTCTCGATGGAATCGGCGCGGTGCCCGTGCCCGGGCAACAGCATCTCCGGGTTCTGGTTCTGATGGTAGTCGGTGTGATGGTGAGGCAGTCGTTCATGGAGGTCGCTGATCACCGAGTCGGGGCTGACCTTCGGCCAGTAGTGGTCCTGGTGATGGGCGGCCATCGCGTGGATCGACGGCCTGAGCCCTGTCCCGATGATCGGCGGTCTCTTGTCGGTCCTCTCCGCGTGCTTCTGCATGTGCTTCGCCAGATAGGTCTCCTGGGTGTAGCTCTTGCCGCAGTACTGGCAGATGTGCGTCTTCAGGTGCTTCGATTCCTTGTGCTTCGGTATGTGCTCGAGCAGACTGGGCTCGTCGGAGAAGCACTTGTAGCAGGAGTTACACTTGTACGGCTTGTCGGTCTGGTGGCACCGGGAGTGGCTCTGTAGGTTGCTCAGCTGGCTGAACGCCTTCGTGCAGCCTGGATGCCGGCACTTGTACGGTTTGTCGCCGGTGTGCGTGCGGATGTGCTGCTGTAGGTGGCTCAGTTGGGTGAACTTCCGCTGGCAAATCTCGCAGCGGTACGGCTTGATGCCCAGGTGGATCCTGGTGTGCTGCGACAGGTACGAGGAGTTCGCGAACGCCTTCGAGCACTGGGTGCACTTGTACGGCTTCGCCTCGCGCATGTGGATCTGCGTGTGGAGCTGCAGGTCCGCCTTGCTACCGAAGATCTGCAACAGACGGAAAGATGGACCGGTTAGTTTCACGGTTTCGATCATCGTTCTTACACCTATAGTCTTCTGTAGCTTAGACATTATACTTTAGAGTTTATAGAAACATTCAAAGAATAACCACTGATTCGTAGCTCTAGAGTTAAACAACCACGAGTCGAGAACATCCAGATTTAAAGGAATAATACGCGAAAGCCATGTTATATCAAACGATATTCCCGAGTTCGCGATCCAGGCTCGCGTCCATTCAAAACCGTCGACAGACAGTTCCGACTGATCTCAATTCCGTTATAATCCTTAAAACCCGGCAGCAGACCGTTCAAAAGATTCGCTGCCGCGAGATTGGCCGGGCCAGCGATTCGGCGGTCCGATTCGCGCACCGGAACAGCCGAATAACGAGCGGATCGACAGGTGAAGGGGTTCCATCGCTTCGGTTCTCCTTCCATCCGCCGCTTCCTTCCTCCTGCCCCCGGACGTTGCGCGCGTGTGCGTGTGTCGGCGTATTAGCCGTGTGCCGCGGTATATTTATAAATAAATAAAATGTAAACGAGGATTGGCAGTAGCCGTAGCGCGTACGTGTAGAGGCGGGGAGAGGATGACCTTGTCTATCATGGCCTAGCCTCCAGGCATACCTGACTGACTGGCTT